GTTGGGGACGGTTGTGGGTAGTGATGGTGGTTTGCGGGTGGTGGTAACGGTTGTTGGTGTAGAGGTGATGGCTGTGATTGTGGTGGATATAGTGGTGGCATAGTTCACTTAGTAATGGTGGTAATGATGTGGAGGTGCATAGCAGTGATTTTGATAATTAGTGATAGAGTGAAAGTGATTAATGACGGTGGCGATTAGCGGCTGGAGATGGTTTTTACTGAGCAACTGTGATGCTAGAAGCAAACATTTAATCACTGTTGTGTACAAGGAGCCCCCGATCCCGGTTAAACCTTGCATAATCGTTGTAATCCATTGGACACGCGTAATAATTGACTAGTGTTCATAGATGAAACATTTCAATATGTCTGTCCCTGTAGTGATACTGCTGTTTCTAAGGGATGGAGTTGCTTTGTATTATCTTGGAGATACAGTTCCTACACCCACCACTGCTGTTATTGTTGTATATCCTGCTGTAACTGCTGGGGGGGAAAGGAGTTACGATACTAGAGTTACTCTGGCTTCTGCAGGGGGGGGGGGGGGGGCAGCACTTACAGTAAACTTTGCTATCAAACGGCCGCGTAATACTTTTCCCCACTGGTCCAATAACAATGCAATGCATTTTGGCCTCGCTCGCTATCTGTAAACTTTGGCATCTCTTTGTTTACTTCGGTCAGCTGATTGTTATAAACTGAATGTATGTTGTAAGACATTGCACTATCCTGCAGCTCGTAATGCACAAGAAAAACCATTATATGTATATATATATATATATATATATATATATATATATATATATATATATATATATATATATATATATATATATATATGCGAACAAGCTTGAATGGTCTCCAAGCCAATATGCAACTCCTGCAGGGGTGAGGAGTTTTCAGTTGCATATTGGCTTGGGAACAATTCAAGCTTGTTCGCATTTGTGTTACTCATGTGGCCCAACATGCTAGGTGATTCGATGAAATATCTGTAGCCAAAATTGACCACCGAGTGCTGTCGGGGAATGGGTTAAGGGTCTGACGACTTCCAATCCTTCTGAACAGTCAGTGTAGTCTAGCGGTTAAAGCACTGGATACCCTAAGGTGCATGATAAGAGCCCTGGCTATCCGGGTTCGAATCCTTTAGGGGTGAAGAGCTTTCGGTTTATAAAATTCTGACACTTGCATGAAAGACTTATCCAAAGTAATTTTGTTTGACTTTATTTGTTAAATAAGCTTAAAATAGCTGAGTTATTGAACAGGATGGGGCACATACCACCTTCCCCCCCTCCTAGCAGGCCGCTGCCCCCATACAGGTATTGACGCGTTACAGAAAAAAATACAATGAGGATCTACGGTTATCCTTTTACACTAATATTATTATTAACACATTCCTGGTCTCCATTTATCATTCATTATGATAAATGAAAATTATCATAATGAATAATAATTTATTATCATTATTGTATATTAATATCATTACTATATATTATCACTTGACCAATATTAGTAGTCATTATTATTAGTAGTATTATTACTATTACTGTTCATATTATAATAGCCGCGATCCCTAGTGGTGTTGTGACGGAGCGCTAATGACCTACACAACACACCTCTCACCTCAGTATATCTCTGCGAACTACTCTCAAGTGTTGTAAACTTTTGTGTACGAGCTTTTAAAGTTGCGGGCCTCACAATGGTGATTAAAACAATTAGAGGCGGGTTTGATGATTAAAATTTACAGTTTTGGTCTCAAGAAGAAAGATTTAGCCATTGAGATTGGTGATTTAGACCTCGATGAACACAGCACTTTGAAGATTGACTAGGGAGGATACTGTATTCCATAGTGTTGTACAGTGTTGCATGGTTTGTCCAGTTACAGCCCCGCTCCTGTGCCAGTAAGTCCACTACGGGCTCACCGTAGCCCGTGCTACGTGGAACTTTTGCTCCGATTAGCTGAATCTAGAACATCAACAAAAGGACGGTGTTTTACAGTGGTATATCGTATTATTCAGTGTTGTGTTCCGGGAGAAAGATGGTGCTGGATAGTGTGACGAGCTCGCAGTAGTTAGCCCACGGCCTAGAATCAGAACTAAAACGAAGTTTTTTCAGCCTAAGATAGGCCTGTCAAAACAGTTATTTGACATAATGCCCTGACCCGTTTGGATTGTGCTAACTGCTTAATCATCATAAACGTATTTTAAGCCTTCTGGTGGAACAAGCCAACGAAAGATTATCCAGGCTTATGGGAGCAATCATATGCCAGCAGATTTTTTTTTTTAAGTTTGCTCGATAATGCACCAATCCTCGGAAAGTTCACGAATATGTTTTTTTCTGTTTAACAGTGAATGCTCGCCGTATTAAAGCTAACCAAGAGTTGCAGCAAAACGAGAGAAAGCAAGGGAAACAAAAAAATTCAGGACATATAGCAATATAAGCCTTATGCTACTGGACTTTAAGGAATAAAGTGTTTCATTAGCGATCTCTCTCCCGCCGCAGGGAATGTAAACATTGAGGGCTTTGGTTTCCTGGGTTAGTTTAAGCCGTGGATATTTCCGGCCGCTTAATTCTCTCGTGCTGATATTAAACCGTGGTAGGCAGGTGGAGCCGCGCGGGGCGTGTTTGACCAAGCGGGTTTTAACTCTCAGTCATCACATGATCCGCTATCACCAGACGGGGGTATTGACATGAAAAAAAAAGAATTAACTTTAGTCTTCATTGGGACATTTGATGTAAAATATGACTGGACGTAATTGGCTTGGCTGCTGTTAATAGCGTCGTCTCATGTGTTATTCAGTATTATTATAGTATGAATAACGGAGGGTTATAGATAGCCTTAAAAATATTTCATGCATTTTTGGGGCAAGCATTAAGCTTTGGAAGAAAACTGAAGTTAAGGTTGCAGTCCACAGAGGTAAACAAAATGTGCAGTATATGCATTCACAAGCGAAAGAAAAGCTATAAAGATAAATACTCAGCCCGTATTTTGACGCATTCCCAACGTCAATAGACTGATGTACTAAAGTGTCCTAGCCTGAGCAACTAGAGGACCCACGATCAGAAAACGGGACATAATGTTATTCATGCGAGTCGCTGCCTTTTTTTCTCACAAATAAATGTTTGGCATAAGATAAAGTATGCGTCAAAATGCATCGTGCTGTAACGAGAACAGGTTGATATATTTGTATGTGCGCGTGCGTGCGCAAATATTTCTAAAGCCGGGCCGTTCAAATCCTAGTCCACATGAGCTCATTTAATTATATCTTTCAGAGATGTAGTCTGTACTCTGTGTATATGACCAGTAATGATACAAAATGGATGGGCTATACTCTTCGCATCAGTGTTGCTCCATATATTCAGGCGATGTTCGACTGTACCACCAGACCTAACAAATACATTCACAGGTTCTAACGCAAGCAGAGCCTAACAAATTACGAAGAAATCACACACACAATTACGCATATATATATATATATATATATATATATATATATATATATATATATATATATATATATATATATATATATATATATATATATATATATAATTTATGACAGAATTTTCCCATGTAGTAACTAGACAATCGATGTTCAGGTATACACAGTGGAGAAATACTCTACAACAGACCATGTGTCTAACATTTGATTTGTTGCCACGTCAATCACGTTACATGACAACACTAGTTCAGAAACAATATCTTGAGAGGTCTTCATTTCAAATGTAACTTGTGGACTGACCTTTGAAGAAAAAAAATAATTTAAGTAATGAAATGCACATGTATATACATTATTTTTTAACTGACTTTCAATATATTTATAGAATACCTTTATTGCACAATATTTTGACATTTAATTTGATCTATATTTGTCTGCCATTTGGCAACCTTGGTCCAGATTCACGAAGCAGTTACGCAAGTACTTACGAACGTGTACATCTTTCCTCAATCTTTGACGCCTTTGGTTACATTTATTAAACAGTTTACAAACATGAAAACTTCCCAATCAACTGTTGTTATTGTTATAAGCAGCCTTCTGGTGCTTTGGAGTTCATTAACTGTTTAATAATTGTAAACAAAGCCGCCAAAGATTGAGAAAAGATGTGCAGATTCGTAAGTACTTGCGTAACTGCATTGTGAATCTGGCCCCTTGTTTCTTATCGGCACCAAACTCATCCGAAAAGTCTTGCGGGGTTATGGATTTTACGAGGCAGAGGAGCTCCGTTCTTCTAGCGGCCGTGCAGCATGTACGCATCCGCTTGAGGTGGTCTCTGAAGATGGCGTGTGTGGAAAGAAACTCCGGTGGGAAGCTCAGAGTGTGAAATTTTGAAGATGTTTCTAGTTGATGGTGGCCGACGTGGTATTGATAACTGGTGGTACTGACGATGGTGGTGCTCGTGGCTGGGGGTGTGTGTGTTGGTGATAGTGATGATTGTGGCACAAGTACTGGTGGTAGTATTGATTGTATTACAAGTGATGTTAGTATTGCCAGTGTTGGTGGTAGTCGTCACTAGGAGGCGGCTGTGGTGCTGAATCAGTCTTATTTTTTAGAGCTGTAGTTCGCACGATGATAACGACGGGTGTAGTTTTGGTAGCTGCGGCATGTACCAGCATGTTCCCCACTGACGGCGATGGTTGTTGTTTCCGGTGACGATACTGCTGGTGGGATGCAAGTGCGTTTGTTGAAGTGACTGCGACATGTCTACAGTTTGTGGTAGTTGCTGGTTGAAACGGTAGGTGTTGTTGCGTGCTCGGCAGGTGTCACTGGTGAGTTGTTGACCATAACACCAAGAAAGTAATGTCGGAGCTAACATACCCAAAAATTTTCTTTTGAAGACACTTGATTCCAGTAAGACTTGACAAAGTTTTCACCTGGGGGAACAGGTGTTACAAAGCATACGTAAGAATATACGCCTACTTCAAAAGCAATAAAGCTTGCAATCACCAAAACACTAAAAATAAATAAAAAAGAACACTTAGATTAAATATGACTGGTTATAGAAACAAAAATAAAACTTAAGGCGAGATGAAATGATTAAGATTAGGATCTTATTAAGTTGCAGGTTGCGACAGTGGGTTTCTTTGAGGGTTCTGCTGTAAGGCGAGGATGGGGGGGTGGCGGCGGGGTTCATACAGGAGGGTCCTTGGGAGTTTCAATGGTGCTGTTGTACTGCTGGTCAAGCACGTCGTCCTTGGCGAAGGAGTACATGTCCTCTTCTAGGGTCTCGTCGCCGTCGTCGAAGCCAAACCTGCGGAAGGAGGAAAAAATCAGTGCCTTTGGTATATTAATTACCCTCTTAAGGGGAAATCTTGACGGCTGATGAGCATTGATTCACTATAGGGGGGTAGAAATAGCCTAAGCTACTCTATCCCTTTGAGATGCATTTCTTTCTTGTCTCAATAAACATACTTGGTTCACTAGATATTTAAAAGGAATCAGTGGTTTAATGTGTTAATGGTTAATGCAAACCGTATATCAAAGTTGAAGCAGTTTCCAAGAATAATTGATAAATGTTAAATGTCAAAGCTGTGACTGTTAGAAAATACAATTAATCTGACTCTAAAAATACAGTTTACTAAATTCGTACTGAAAAACATTACAAAATGGAAAATTGAACAAACGTCTATAAAAGTTTCCAGTGCCAGTAATGTCATAATACCATTGATCTAGTATCCAGGGGCTAGTAACGTCATCACTCAAGCGTTCCAGATCCTCAGTGATGTCAGAGCATCAGTGTTCCAGACCCCAGTAATGTCTTAGCATCAGTGTTCCAGACCCCATTAATGTCTTTGCATCAGTGTTCCAGACCCCAGTAATGTCTTAGCATCAGTGTTCCAGACCCCAGTAATGTCTAAGCATCAGTATTCCAGACCCCAGTAATGTCTTTGCATCAGTGTTCCAGACCCCCAGTAATGTCTTAGCATCAGTGTTCCAGACCCCAGTAATGTCTTAGCATCAGTGTTCCAGACCCCCAGTAATGTCTTTGCATCAGTGTTCCAGACCCCAGTAATGTCTTAGCATCAGTGTTCCAGACCCGAGTAATGTCTTAGCATCAGTGTTCCAGACCCTAGTAATGTCTTAGCATCAATGTTCCAGACCCCAGCAACGTCATAAAGCCACTGTTTAAGTTTAATTTAATTTATACCACATATGTAAGACCAATCCTGGAGTAAGCGGCCCCAGCATGGAGCCCGTACCTTGTCAAGCACAAGACGAAGCTTGAAAATGTTCAGAGGTATGCCACTAAGCTAGTCCCAGAACTAAAAGGCATGAGTTACGAGGACAAGCTACGTGAAATGCTCCTCACGACACTGGAAGACAGAAAAGGAGAGACATGATCACTACCTACAAAATTCTCAGGAATTGATAAAGTAGATAAAGATAAACTATTTAACACGAGTGAAGCGCGAATAAGGGGACACAGATGGAAACTGCGTACCCAAATGAGCCACAGGGACGTTAGAAAGAACTTTTTCAGTGTCAGAGTAATTAACAGATGAAATGCATTAGGCAGTGATATGGTGGAGGCTGACTCCATACACAGTTTCAGATGTAGATATGATAGAGCTCAGTAGGCTCAGGAATCTGAACACCAGTTGATTGACAGTTGAGAGGCGGGACCAAAGAGCCAGAGCTCAACCCCAGCAAGCACAACTAGGTGAGTACTGTTTCTGTATCCAGACTCCAATCATGTCATAACTCCAGAAAGACGAACTGCAATATGGAGCTTCATTGAAGTATCTTATTCAAATGTATGAAAAAGTATAACAAGGTGTTAAATATATTAACACAAAATAGGACATGAAACGATTGATACATATTGGATAAGTTTAGATTTAGATATATATATATGCGAACAAGCCTGAACTGTATATATATTATGGTATATATACATATACCATAATAATGTGTGCAAATGAACTTTGCAGAGATCATTTTTTAACTTCCCTCGACAGTGAAGAAAAACATAAGAAATATTGAGAAGATTTATTTTGATGTCTAGACTTACATCAAATGTTCGTTATATACGGTTAAGCCTACTGGACCTGAGGCGATACTCCCTTCAAATTAACCTTGCAGTGAATTTTCAACTTCTTTCTTTATTATGCACCCCATACCCATCCCGTGGGCGGTGGTGGAAAGGGTTACAGAGGCACATAATCGGTTCAGGAACTGAAGCGATTAGTTCGTTTAGCTAAGCAAATAACAATCTTTCGAGGCTATTCTCTATAGCCTCGCTGCGGGTTCATGAAACTCCTTCTGGATTTATTTTGGTGAATCTGCTGTTAATTCTTAAATAATGTTAATTGATTAGGTCATTCTCTTCACAAATATAAATAAATTTATTTTAATTAATAATATTTCGTACTTTCGGTTTGCGATTTGTAGAGCAACGTTAAATAATATTTAGAATCTAAGGTAAGCGAGTTGACGCAAATTTAAAATAGTGAAATATTTCGTTGGTGTGACATTACCCAAAAAACAGTTCGCTATTTCGTATCATGTGATATATTTTCAACTATTATAACTAAGGATTTATAATGCAATTGATTGCTCTACAGGATCCTTGAAAACATACCATCTGATTTCACGCAGTATTCGCTCGATATCTCAATCTGATTTGTCGCCCAAAAAATTCATGTCTTTTCAGTCCCATTTGACGTCCAATTCTCCTCCGTTGTATTCATCAATCTTCACTTGTTCTTAAATTGCAAAGTTTCTGAATAAGGGAATGAAATTGAAGGTGAAATGTCAAATTCTCCTCTTTCCTGCTCATCGGAGATCAGGGGCCCGATTCACGAAGCAGTTACGCAAGTACCTACGAACGTGTACATCTTTCCTCAATCTTCGAGGGCTTTGGTTACATTTATTAAACAGTTTACAAGCATGAAAAGTTCCCAATCAACTGTTGTTATTGCTATAAACAGCCTTCTGGTGCTTCGGAGCTCTTTAACATTTCTGTAGCATGGGCACTACGATGTAATCTGATATGTATAAAGACACTGATTTCGATATATATATATATATATATATATATATATATATATATATATATATATATATATATATATATATATATATATATATATATATATATATATATATATATATATATATATATATATATATATATATATATATATATATATATATATATATATATATATATATATATATATATATATATATATATATATATATATATATATATATATATATATATATATATATATACATATAAATATAAATATATATATAGTGACCAGTATTCACCCTTTTGTGCACTTTCAGCATAACAAACGCATGGTTAACGAAACACACTAAGTATACCTGTCCCAACATTGCTAGTGACTGCCTCTGTTCAAAATACATGAAAAGTATGTGTACACAACATTGTGATTGCCTGTTCGAAATACAGAATGACTGCCTGTATCCAACATAGTTTGTTATTGCTCGTGTTTCAAGTGAGCTGTTTCTCTTATATGACAGCATTTGGAAGGAGATAAGCTGTCACGATGGCATGGGCCGTCCACACAAATCTGTTGCAAATCTATTTGGATAGGAATTGCAAGTAGTTCAAGTTTTTAACTTTGGAGTTGTGTATGCTGAATGCCATTGCAAGTAATTGTTCAGGAATACTAGAGTCAGATTATATATAATAAATACCCAGTGTTAAAACAAATTTGGATACTGATATTTTTCACGTTGACCGTATTTTGTACAATTTACCATGAGTTAAATTACAAATATTCCTCTAACGCAGATGATCTAGCTTCAAATTACTGGGTGAGAAAACAGAATATTAGATTTACGATGCATAAGCTTTATCTTTTAAAGAATCCGAGAGTAACATCCTACTGTTTGTGATCAGCCTCGATATTTTCGTCAGATATCCCAGTCATGGCATAGATTTGATTGGTATTAATTTTCAAAATGCTTGCAAATGACAAGACCTCAGAATCTATCAAATTCACGATACCTTATAGAGAACAAATGGGGAGTTATATGTCTTCAAGACCTCAAAGCCTACTGCCTCCAGGAAAAAGCCTAATGCTTGGTACTGGGAAGCAAGCGACTCACCTCCAGGCGACGAAGAAGCAGGCAAGAAGGGTGATGATACCAGCGGCCATGAGGAAGAGGGCGAGTGGGACAGGCGGTGTGTGCATGAGGTGAGAGCCACTCATGGGCTTGCTGAGGATCACGTGGTAGAACACCGAGCCAGCCGTCAGCATCAGCGTCCCCACCAGGAAACTCAATAGCAGGCAGTAGGCGCGGGTGGTGGGCGCTACCTGGGGCGTGAACAAGCCCTTGTATCGAATCTGATTTGATAGGAATCTTCTGCTGGTGTCGGTGGCGAGGGAGCCGGTGGTGCCGGAGGGAGAGCTGCTGTTCTGGTGGTTAGATGGAGACATGTTGCTCGTGGAGTGTTTGTCTGAGAAGACCTGCAAGAGAGGAAGGGTATTTGTAATTGGTGAAGGTGAGAGTCTGACGAAGTTTATGGTTTACGTAATATGTTCAAACACTTACCAAACATTCATGCTAGTATACATAAATGTTAAACAATTCATGTCACACACACAAACACATATTAACAGAGCCCTTCCAATTTCAGTAACATTTTAAAAACGCTATTCATAAGCTTTGCATAATCCACACAAAATATTATTAAGACACATGCTTCCTACCTCAATGCTTTTGAAATTGTTTTAAGTTAGCATAGAGTGCTGTTAGTGAACTTAACATTAACAACAGCATATATAAAAGCCGCTCAGGCGCAAGACATCGAGTAATATCCATTAAGATATGCAAATTACGGAGAGCGATCTCGAGACGTGTGAATTCCATTAGCGAGTTCGAGGAGAGTGAGGGCGAGGGGGAAATTTCTAAGATGACACGAGTTTCCATGAATTAACACCTTAGGGCGTTGTGTCAGGTCTCAGGGGATGGTGATGAGCCAAGGGTCCGACCTTCCTCTTTATGACATTCCAATCCACATAAGAAAATTCAGATTCTTTGATCTGATTAAAAGAAAAACAATCTTAATTTCTGATGTTTCAAGCAAATTATTTGTCATTTGCTACTTTTTTTACACTGCAGCATGTGTTCGCAATATTAATTAAAAAATTTCTCATGTTTATGCAGTGGGAATTTTAAAGCTCGATCAAAAATTTCTAGCAGAACTAGAATTCTGCTTCTATCTGATGCTGTCAATTGTGTAGAACTCTAAAACACAGAATTGTTCACTATTGTCTACTATACGTAGTGAACTGGTGCAGTCTTTCTTGTCTTTGACTGCACAGCAACCTACTTCCATCGCGGGAAGCAGCTGAATTACCATGCTGGTGTTGATTTAAGATAGTAGTGCAAAGTCAGCTATTTAGATTCTGTTGACAATTATCGGCATTTTGTTTACGTTGGCGAAGCATTTAGAAAGGTGCGATTCGAACGAAGAACGCGAAGGAAGAAAATTATAATAAAATAAAGAAGATTCGTGCTAGCGATCTCGCCCTTTCCGCCATACTTATATATAAATATATACGTTATTAACACTTGCACACATACAAATTTACATTCCATTATGAGGGAAAGAACCTTAAATGCAAAATAATAATTTCAACTGTGAAAGCAGCCAGACAGAAAGCAGCTTGCTTATTCTTAAGCAAGAAAGCATCTTGCTTAAGAATAACACGGCGTTTCTGGGGAACAAGGAATTCGCTGGGGGTTACACACCAGGGGGAACGACAAAGCCTAATCAGGCCTTTTGTTACATAGCTCGTTTTCTAATTATTTAAACTATACATAGCTCGTTTTCTAGTTATTAAAACCATACATAGCTCGTTTTCTAATTACTAAAACCATACATAGCTCGTTTTCTAGTTATTAAAACCATACATAGCTCGTTTTCTAATTATTTAAACTATCCATAGCTTGTTTTCTAGTTATTAAAACTATACATAGCTCGTTTTCTAGTTACTAAAACCATACATTGCTCGTTTTCTAGTTATTAAAACCATACATAGCTTGTTTTATAGTTATTAAAACTACACATAGCTCGTTTTCTAGTTATTAAAACCATGCATAGCTTGTTTTATAGTTGTTAAAACTATACATAGCTCGTTTTCTAGTTTATTAAAACTATACATAGCTCGTTTTCTAAATATTAAAACTATATATCGTTACGTTAGGCTGTGTTACGCTAGGTTAGATTGGGTTATCTTAGTTATTTTTGGTTGAGTAAGGTGAATGTTGGTTTATCAAGTTTTAAAACATAATTTTTGGCAAGGTGTTCAATATAAGATATGACCAGCATTCGACATACCGCTGATAACCTGATAAATGGTGTGGATGCTTTAGTCAATGGGCAGAGACAACTGGATTAATGAATATAGTACATAATTTTAGTGATTGGTTTCTGTAATTTTTTTTTAAAAGATTGTTGGTGGGCATACGATTGGACCTTAAATTGCCACCTCTAGACGATTGGAGCAACAACCTCCGCTCGCAAACATTCAATAACAAGTTTACGGGAAATATTTTTTTTTTGTTTACAACCATAACTATAACATATAAACAACTCTATGCAAGAAGAAACATGATATGAAGAACATCTAGCAGACAGCTGAAGGTTATAACAGCTGTTTCTCTGAGTTCTTAAGACAGTGCTCAGAGAGGTGCTTCTCTCATTAGTTAATACAATCAAACCAGCTGACTATCTGCTGCTGTTACGAATATAAATTTTCCAGTGCATTTTGGCAGCCAAAAATATTTACTCGTCTTGCTTAAGAATGCGTCACGACTTTTTGCGTAAAGTTACCGCAATAAATTCTTATATGCATCATGCAAATTTCGTCCTTAAATCTTGGCAAAAGTTTTAAATTTTTTTTATGGACATCGGATGGATACCCTGCAAAAGGAGGAAAATGGGTTATTATTTTATGGGGGATTTAGGGCAAATTTATTTTTTTGTTTTATTAAAACAATATAATTTATTATATATATATATATATATATATATATATATATATATATATATATATATATATATATATATATATATATATATATACACACACACACATATATGTAAGGGGTGGTAGGAGAAGACGATATGTACCAGTGCATGAGAGAGCCCAACAAGGCTCTCCCGGGTGCTGCATATCGTCTTCGAGGCTTAAGGGTCCCTACAAACAACCAGAGGTGGTACCTCTATTTATTATATTACTGAAAACTCCACACCCCCAGAAGGATTCGAACCCAGACAGTCGGTATTGGGGGTGCTATATTAAGTTGGATTAGGGGATGGCTATACCAAAGGAAACAAAGAGTTAGTATAAATGGAGTTAAGTAAAAGTGGGAAAATGTTGTAAGTGGAGTGCCTCAAGGTTCTGTCCTGGGTCCTCTGTTATTCATAATAAATGATTTAGATTCAGGCTTGAGCAGTAGTATTTGCAAATTTGCCGATGATACAAAAATCGGGAGAGAAGTAAACATGGAAAAAGGTGTACTATCACTTCAAGACAGTCTGAATAGAATTTTGAAATGGTCAAAAGATTGGTAGATGCAATTTAATGCACCTGAGATTGCGAAAGAGTTCTGGGAGTTATGATTAGTAAAAATTTAAAACCAAAAAATCAGTGCATTAATAAATGTTCGTTATAGGGCAAATAGGACACTTGAGATTTATTTATCGAAGCGTTAGTAATAAGACACCTGATGTTGTCCTTCGTTCTAGTGAATTTATGCCCATTCTATAGTTTGGCGAAAAGATCTTGCTCTGGTTAGGCCCCATTTAGATTATGCAGTTCAGTTTTGGTCGCCAAACTATAGAATGGGTATAAATTCACTAGAACGCGTCCAGCGTAGGATGACAAAGTTAATCCTCCAAATTAGAAACCTGTCATATGAAGAAAGTTTGACAAAGCTTAAATTACATTCGCTAGAAAGGCGAAGAATTTAAGGGTACTTCGTATATCTCCAACCTCTGATTGGCCCGAACGCCAAGTAGACACAACAAAAAGTCGCACCAATCCGCTTTCATCAACTTAGTAATATTACATAGTGTATAGCGTATCTGAATCCCACTAACAAGCGGTTTAATTTTGTTTAGTATTGTTTTGACGAAGTTGTTATTGTGCAGACAGAAGCCTCGATTCACGTGATTAACTTTTCAACCCCGATGGGTGGGTGTGGGATGCATTGTTTCCAAATGAAATCTGTATATTAGCTAGTTCACTCCAAATGGTAAATTGCTTTACTAATAGAACACTGGCACGAAGACTTTAACCTTGCCGGGGTCTTTAATATATAAACTACAAATTTAATATTTTTTTGTTGTGTTTACAAGTGTGTGCGGCAGCGTTGAAGGGCCGTGGAGCGTTGATGCTAACCCCGTGACGCAGGAACACTTACCAGTGCGACGGTAAGTTACTTGTGCTTTATCGGACGTCTTGTGTTGGACTGTCAGCTTAGTTTATAATTTACAGTGAAATTCCCATCGCATATAAATTGCTCAGTGCTTGGAAGAGGGAGGGGGGGGGGGATCAAGATAAAGAGTCAGGCGGGAGGGTCTCGATGCATTCGAGGATACGATGCTGCATTGTGTAATCCTTTATATATGTACTAGGTCGATATTCTATTATTCTCCAAAGTGGATATCTGGGAACGTCAGTATGAGTATACTGTGTACACACAAATATACATGTTAGCTTACTAAAGTGGGTCCTGTGCGTACGTACTCCTTCCGGTGCAAGACAAGGTCTGGGCACCCTGGAAGAAAATCGTGTAATTAGTGAGGGAAGTTACTTACTCTTGTGAAGAGTGTGTCAGCTTCCCGACAGTAACAACTAGCTCGGTCTCGCTAATTCATGCCTCTGTCGTCAATCGTTCTTCATTTTTTAATAATCTGTTATTTTAATTATTTTTTTTTAAATTCCTATTACAAGAGATTCCAGCTATATGTATCATTCCTATCTCCTCCCAGCCATCATTTGTCGGTAGTGTTATTAATTTGTTCTTTTGCTGCTCCTTCACCATATTTTTGTTAGTCCTGTCTTCGTTTTCTTAATGTTTTTCTCCTCTCTGGGATTCTCTTTTTTTCTTCACTTCCCCGCTTCTCTCTCTCACCACTTTCCCTATTTTTTCCCCCCTATCGTCCCCATCCCTCTTCCTAACCCCCCCCCCTCCCACTCCAGCGTCTGCCGTAAAACCAACCAGTGCTCATTAAACTTTAAACAAGTTTTACATATTAATAAAAGTTTTCCCTTATGTTGGCGGTGCAGTTCTCCATCCCAGCGAGACGATAGTGTAAAGGTAATCTGACGAGGCTTGATTCAATACAACTATTGTTGTTACAAGGTTGTGTGTGTAATAACCATTGTTTTATTATTAGTAGTAGTAGAGCAGTATAACTAATAATCAATTTTGAGTATAAATTGTTTGTATT